TCTGTTATCATTCAATAAAACTAAATCAGCTCTCCAAAAATCAATAACTATGGAATGCAATTAGGCCCCTGCAGCTGAGTGCATTTAGAGCATAGCTGCTAATCTGGAGGGAGATTTGATAAGAAGGAAATAGAGTATTACTCTTCAGAAATTCTTGCTAACCTGATCTTCAATATCATATTTTAACAAATTTACCAAGCCACTTAGGTTGCAGCGCTAGCAGCACACTGAGCACAGAACTCAGGGCTACATGTGCTGCTGATGGCACACTCGGGAATCGCGTTAGGGCCAGTGAGCTCTGCACACTGGGGGAAGTCACTTAGCTGATGCACTCTGTAAACACTGGCCTTTTACTTGAAGGGGGCAGATCGTATCCCCCTTCTCTGTGGTAGGAGGATTAGCATTTTGGTGCAGCGCACACAGCCATACGCAGGGCTGGATTCTCCCCATGCAAGCCTGCCAGTGCCGTCAGTCATTCGCTCAGCTGATGAAATCCATCAGCTCTCTTCTGTCACTTTAATCTGTTCTGCTCAGTTGCATCAGACCAGCCTAATTTCCAGGCAGAAATTTTAGCATTTCAGTTCCAAATTTTCTCAACAGTGTTTTCAGAAATCTATCAAGACATTTTACGTTGCCATGCTTGAATTGTTTGGCCAGTGCAGGCAGGGCCAATGCACAGGGGCGCCGTGTGCACCGAAAGGCCGTGTCTGCAAGCGCTGATGAGCGGACACTGAGCCTGGGAGCTATTTACGGCTGGGCGCATACTGTAATTAGAGTTATTTCTGGCTGGTCATTTTCAAAGACACAGTGTTGAGTGAAAGTGATTTCCATGGGAATGTGAACACCAGTTTGAATCACTCAGGCAAATTGGAAAGTTGCACGTGCCCAGGTGCAACTCCACAAATGTGATTGGGTGAATTTGCAGTGTAGATCATCGGCAGCTGTTTCTGCAGTTCGTAGTGTCTTTTGTCCAGCTGGCTGGTGTGCAATAGATCAGAAAATCACCAGCGCAATAGTACTTACTGAAAAAGACCCTCAGCTATTCCGCTCTCGAGAGCCAATATTGTCAGCTTTGCTCTGAGCGTAGTGAGGCGTCGTTTCTTCCTGCATTGAGCTGCCTTTCTCCTCCAAACACACCTCTTCCAGTTATTTAAGTGGGGAGCCCATTCTGGCATGGGAAACAGGCATAGAATCGTAGGACTGGAAGGGACCTCAACAGGTCATCTGGTCCAGTCCCCTCCCTCATGGCAGGACTAAGTATTATCTAGACCGTGTTTGTCTAACCTGCTCTGAAAATCTCCAGTGATGGAGATTCCACAACCTCCCTAGGCAATTTATTCCAATGCTTAACCACCCTGACAGTTAGGAAGTTTTTTCCTAATGTCCAACCTAAACCGTCCTTGCTGCAATTTAAGCCCATTGCTTCTTGTCCTATCCTCAGAGGTTAAGGAGAACAATTTTTCTCCCTTCTCCTTGTAACAAACTTTTATGTACTTGAAAACTGTTCTCATGTCCTCTCTCAGTCTTTTCTTTTCCAGACTAAACAATCCCAGTTTTTTCAATCTTTCCTCAGAGGTCATGTTTTCTAGAACTTTAATCATTTCTGTTGCTCTTCTCTGGACTTTCTCAAAGTTGTCCGCATATTTCCTGAACTGTGACACCCATAACTGGACACAATACTCCGGTTGAGGCTGTATCAGCGCAGAGTAGAGCAGAAGAGTTACTTCTCATACACTATTGCAAATCCTAGCTCTTTGGGAAACGCCCTATAGACTTTAATAGAGAATCTACACATCTGTATGAATCTCTCTTAAGTTCTGTAGGTTTTTGAAGTAATTTTATAGAACCCTATAGTTTTATCCCTGTTAACTTCTACGGGACTTTTCTGTGCGGAAGCTAATGAGATTTCTCTGGTCTATTCACTCATTACTAGCAATATGCACGGTACAGAAAAGGAATGAGTCGCTGGCTCAGAGGCTGGTGGGGAAAGAGGGCTGGATAGATGGGTCAGAATCAATGGAAGAGTGGAGAGTCGTGGGTATCAGACAGCGATGGCTGGATTGTAGGAACTGGCCCGAGAGAGATGTACCGGGGGAAGAGGATGGAGAGGGGCCTGGGGGGAGTCCACGGAGGGCTAGGAGAGTCTCGCTGCTGGGTCTGAGTTGGATTTGGAGAGATCAGAGAAGCTGCGGCAGGTGATGGAGTGTGGGGATATTAGGGTTGCACCCCTAGAGCAAGGGACCAGTCTAGCTACATTTGGGCTCCCTGACATCTATGGACTGGGGATTCGGAAGATCAGGCAGGGGAGCGGTGCAGGGGGGAGCTGGAAAGAGACAAAGGAACAAGGGGCAAGTCAGATGCTAAGAAGGGTGACAGTGTCCCGAAGGTGGTGAAAGTCTGAATTCCAGCCACAGGAGACGTAAGGAGCAGACCACAGGCTAGCATTCTTCACAGCTGGCAGCACCTGCCTAGCGAGCCCCTGGGCATCGGTGTAAACATGCTGACAAAGCTTTAATTGCCCTTTAATTGTCGCAGATGCCCTTTAAAACTGGTGTGGATTTGATAGGCCGCAGCAATTGTATTCACACACGCAACTGCTTTCTGCTTCAGCACGAAGCAGTGTCCGCATGTCAGGGACTTGGTGCCTACTGGGCATGCAGCATTCTGGGGGGGCCTCCTTGTGCTGTGCATTGTGGGATACAGAGCGGAAGCCTGCCAGAAGCGACTGGAAATCTGGGACTCAGGATCACAAAGCTCAGCAAAAGAGAGTGTTTGTACCACGGGGGGCGGGGGGGGCGGGCACAGCTGCCTAGCAAACCGCTTTGCCAAAAGAATTCCTGCCTTCAGTACCATAAGGCAGCCTTGGGCCTTTCTGGCAATATGGACAACTCAAGCCATCCATCACCAGCTTCCAAAGCCTTTCAGCTCCGAGCTGGTTCCTGGAACACTCACCACACCCGAAAGGAATTCTGTGGCACAGGGAACTTCATCTGCTAGCCTGTCATGTCGGGAACCATGAGCACACGCTATGGGTGATTTGTAAAGCAACACACGGCGCTGAACGGTCTCAAACACAAGGCAGTGACACGTTCACCTAGCTGGGCCTTGTCTAGCAAACATCTCGGCTTGCAGCTATCCGCTGGGTAACCCCACGGGATGGTGTTTGCCTGGGCGCTGCTGGGTGGCAGCAGTAGCGCTGCGGTTGCGGAGCCCAAGGGGCTGTTAAAGAACCGTTTCAAGCCTAGACCCATTATTTTCTCACCCTATGTTTGCACTGAAAAGTTTCCCATGTGAAGGGCCCAATCCTGCAAGATGCTGAGCAACCTCACCTTGCATTAAAGCCAATGGAAGAGGTGGGCAATGCAGGAGCTCCTCTTAGGGGATGCGCAACGCCTTGCATAATCATGCCCTGGTATTACGTTAAGAGTTCGCCCCCACTGCTGAGTGACCACCCCTCCCCCCTGCTAATTACCCACTCAGGCAATACAATAATCATGAACATTTGGGGCAACTTCCACCAAGCTAAACATCACAGTGGGTGTGAGCGAGAGCATAGCTGCAAAGCTTAAAACGCAAAAAGTTGAACTGAAAGTAAAACATTTTTGTTTCATTTTATGCCCAAAGCATTTAGATTTGTGCCAATTGCAAACACTGAAACAATGAGCATTGCTCTGACACTTGGCACTAATACCTGATATAAACCCTGTGCACTGGGGACCTGTTTCCTGACTGCCTTGCACCTCGCTTACCTCGCTGACTCCTGCACAGAGTGGGTGCTGAATGGCGCCATTCTGGCTGGAGATGTTTCACACACACGTGACACAGGTGCAAATCACTACATAAAGTAGAAGGCGGCAGCAGCCAGGCCTCGGGCATGCTGGGTGAGGCAGGATGTTGCGGTTGCTCTTTCTGTAGCTGGGGGGAAGGGGGTGTGTGTAAATTTTCCAGCTGATAAATAATGGTTCTCAAGCCAGGAGCCACAAGAGAACAGCAGACCTCACACTGGCCGTGAGAAGAGACACGCGAGTTCCTGGGAGCGTACTGCCCTGCCAGCCCTGCCCAGCACAGCGTGTGTGTGAACTGGAGGCAATGTGCCCCGTGTACAGCAAAGGCCTTCAGCCAGCCTGGTACCCAGCAGTTAAGGTTTAAAAGCTGCTCGAATGCACATACCGAGTTCATGAATTAAAACCTTCTGGTTTGCGACATTCATCTTTGACTTGGGCCATATGGGCCAAGCATTTACTTCTCCATTTTCTTAGATATAAAAGCTATCTGGACTGCGGCTGCATGTTACAATATGATAATATACTATCCAGGAAAGTCTTGCTACATGTTAATTTATCCAGTAGGCAAATTCCTTTTGGCTAATAAAAGTGCTTGTGCCGGAAGCTCAAAACCCAGCAGCAATTAATTATTGACAGAGCATGTGAATTAGAGATAAAAGAAAAGTCATTCTTCCTCACACACAAGATAGTAAATAAATTTAATTATTGTACTAGAAGCAAGGGATCTTATTCTGTATTAAGTTTTATTAGCTGAGACATTTAAAAGCATGTCATCATAACAAAAAGGTCTTGTGTAATCCTAAATGCACCACTTTGGTACAAGGCTCTGAAGTGTATAGACTTAATTGAGCAAATGGTAGCAGATGGCTTGCTGTACAGACAGGTATTGTACAGGTTTATTGTCAATTAACTCTTGTCTACATATGCCTATGGCAAATTAACTGTATAATATGTTACTGAGACCGGCTTTAACTTGAGGTACTTGCCTTCCCCGGGTTCTGAAGTCAAAGGACACTAACCGGCATTAGATCTCCAGAGATTATGGGGTAGCTAGTGTCACTCCCCTGAGGGGTGCCCTCAGTCTCACTGGGCCACAGGCTTCAAACTCACTGCGCGTGGCCGGAGGGGAACCCACATGGCAGAGTTTCCTTGGGAGCTAGATTCCTGCTGCAGAACTAAGCTCTCTTCCTCTCTCTCCTGTTCCTTTCTCTACAGGAACGTGATGCCCAAAACTCTGGATGGACAAATAACGATGGAGAAGACGCCGAGCTATTTTGTGACCAACGAGGCCCCAAAGCGCATTCACTCCATGGCCAAGGACACCAAGCTGATCGTGGTGGTGCGGAACCCGGTCACCAGGGCCATCTCGGACTACACGCAGACGCTCTCCAAGAAACCTGAGATCCCCACCTTCGAAGTACTCGCCTTCAAGAACCGGACCCTGGGACTGATCGATGCCTCCTGGAGCGCCATCCGCATTGGGATCTATGCGCTGCACCTGGAGAACTGGCTGCAGTACTTCCCACTTTCCCAGATCCTCTTTGTCAGCGGCGAACGGTTAATTATTGACCCAGCTGGGGAAATGGCCAAGGTCCAGGATTTCTTAGGCCTCAAAAGGATTGTGACAGAGAAGCATTTTTATTTCAATAAAACCAAGGGGTTTCCTTGTCTGAAGAAGCCAGAGGACAGCAGCGCCCCCAGGTGCCTGGGCAAGTCCAAGGGTCGAACTCATCCCAAAATAGACCCAGATGTTATCCACAGACTGCGCAAGTTTTACAAACCATTCAATGTCATGTTTTACCAAATGACAGGTCAAGATTTCCAGTGGGAACAGGAAGAAAGTGATAAGTAAAGCCAAGACAGCAGGGAAAAAGCTCTCTGCTATCTAGAGGTGAATCGTTGTCAGAGACACTAAAATCGCACAGGGCTAAAGTCTCAGTCTTGTGACAAAGAGACTTGCATTGTCAAGGTTAAAGTCAAGCTGAACAGCATTTCCAGCTCTGAAACCTTCCTGTCACAGCGAGCACAGGTTGCATTTGGGTCTGTTCCAAGCCCTCCCACTGTATTGTATTGCAAGAATGGCTGGGGGAGGCTCCGGTGGGACAGGGGAGGCTACCGGTTTCTAGCACTTTGTTCCTGGTGCTTCCTGTCAGCGCCAGCCAGTCAGTATTCAGTGAGTCCTACCCACGGCCAACAAAGGATGAGGGAAGCTTATAGAATCCCAATAGCGACAAGGCGAGCCGACAGATTCCATTTCTTCTGCACTACTTTAGTTTTGCCTTGCTGGCAGTCAGGTGTCAGATCACACACACACAAACAGCAAAGCTGCAAAGAAACTATTTACACACACTTCACCTGCATACTAGTTAGACCTTGCACTAGCTACCACATACCAAGTGCCACAAATATCCTGAGCCGGAGTCTTTTCTCACTTTGGGGTGTAACTCCTTTAACTGAACAGAGTTGCTTCTGATTTCCTCTGGTCTGCAGTGAGGCCAGAATCCAGGCTTTCCCTCTAAGTCCTCATATGCTCCTTTAGATGATCACGCACTAAAAACCACTGTCATGCACTGGCACCTAAGGAGCCAGCTGAGAGTGATCTCATGGGATCCATCTCAGAAAGCTTGGCCTGGACGCGTTGCACAGTCTCCTAGCAGAAGGTGCAGTGTCCCGCTCACAGCTCTTCCTGCAGGCAGGTAATGAAATGGCATTTCTCAATCATTCTGGAAACCCGCTGCTTCCCCGCATAGCAGATGGCAGTTGAGGTTGTCATTACAGGCGGCTTTTTAGTTCTTTGCTAGGTAGCCATGAGCCCAGAAGGAGATCCTCTACTGAGTAAAACCTCATCACCGTGTCTAGAGTGGTGTGCAAAATCCAGACACCGGCCTGACCTTCACAAATGCTGAGCAGCCACAAATGCCACTGACGTCCCTGGGACCGTGGGTGCTCAGCACTTCTGAAACTCAGGACTCAGCTGGGTTTGCAAAACCATGAGACATTCTTCATCTTTGCTTCAAAATCTGCAAAGAGGAGAAAAGGTCATTTCCACCGAGCGAGCGCTCACTGCCCTGGAGAAAGCTTCCTTCCCCAGTGGAAATAACAAAGGTTTATGATCAACCAAATTGGCAAATCCCGATGGAAACGATAAGATAAGCACCTGTCACTCCTAGAACCGCAGCAAATCCGAAGCGAGCTGCATGCCTGGATCAGCAAAGACAAGGTAGCAGCGGTTTGACACAGCTGCACTATAGTCCATGTCTGTTCCTGAGAAAAACCCAGGAACAGTGGGCACGAAAGGAAAACACCGTGTTACCTGTGAGGGAACATTTCCTTCCTTTGGGTGATTTCTTGCTGTCTGGGGTTTCTTTTCTTTTCTTTGCCTTTTATTTACTGTGTAAAAAGAGCAGCAGTGGGGCCTGCTTTTGCAGGGGGAGGAGGGAAGGCGTTTCATTTTTATCAAGCCTCAGTGCTCCTTTGAGATGTTGCGTTTGTTGCTGTTTGAAAGCAGCAAGAAAACACAGCTTATGTATTCCTGAGCAAGACCAAGGCTCGGTTTTGATTAAGGTGGCAAGAAATCCTTGTTGATCCAACTAACCAAAGGAAATGTCACTAAAACACTGTGAAGCTAGGTAACAAGCTGAACCTGCTTTGGGTTTCATGGCCTGTCATGTGGTTCATTACACAATCAAGTGGTGCTAGTGCTTTGGGTTGTATAAAAGGAGCTAAATTCATTTGTCAGATTTCGACTGTGGGCCAGGTTTGGGGAGAATCACATTCGTTCCCAGTGAGGTAAATGTCAGTTCATATTAGCCTGATTAGGTTTTAAAACAGCATCTGACATAAAACACTTTCTCACCGACCTGCAAACCGAGAAATGTATTATACAAACACTGGAAATATGTAGTAAGGGGGGACGTTCAATTGTTTCAGATGTTATTAAAACATTATTTCTTCTGCTAAATGAAAGCTGGGTTGTTTTGCCATTTCGTGCAAAATGATTCATGGCTTCAGATGGAGGGAATTTTTTTAAAATCTTCCCAATTTCTAGGGTCCTGCTTACATGGACACCCGAAGCCTTTTCTTATTTCACAGGCCCCGCAAACCCTCAGCTCGTTTTGGTCTCACTCCTGCCCGATGCTGAGCCCCGCCTGGAAATACGAGGTTGCCCGTCAGCACGGGGAATCATAGAGTCATAGAATATCAGGGTTGGAAGGGACCTCAAGAGGTCATCTAGTCCAACCCCCTGCTCAAAGCAGGACCAATCCCCAACTAAATCATCCCAGCCAGGGCTTTGTCAAGCCGGGCCTTAAAAACCTCCAAGGAAGGAGATTCCACCACCTCCCTAGGGAACCTATTCCAGGGCACTCAGCACTTGGCAGGATCAAGCCCTTTCAACTAATCTTTGCAAAAGAGGATTAAAAAGTTCATTTTCCTGACAGTGGTTTCATTAGCAGTCGGAACAATGCCGTGTGAACCACAGCTGTGCTGGGGTGGCCTGCCCACCCCTTAGCAATGACCTGAGAAAGGGGGAGCTTTTCGTTCCCACACGAGACCCTAGGCCCCCATAGGACCACCCCCCCCCCCGCCCGAACCACACCAAAAATGTTCTTTGCATATTTTAAAAACCCTAAAAAAGCCAGCGTGTTGTGCTGCTCCCTAGTCAGGGGCCACCCGGGATCAGCCAGGACAGCAGAGGCCGCGGATTGCTTGTGGTCTTTGGCTGCTCTTTTCACAGGCCCATTCCTGGAAGGAAAAGAGACTTGAGGCAAGACCCTGCCTGTGCCGCTGACGCTGTGGTTCCGTGGATTGGTGAAAGCTTTTGGCCCGTAGCTGGGCAGGAGACATAGCTCCAGTTTGCACCTGGATGAAGTACAGTCACCCCCAACCCGTTTGCTGTATTCCCAGAGCAGCAACAAAATGCTGAGCCAGGATTCAGACAGCAGAGCGTGGCCATGGTAGGCCACCTGTGCTTAATGCTGCATCCCTTCGCCACCCTCTGGAAGGAGCTTGCTTCACCCCGGCCAGCTCGCCCGCCCGCCCAGACGCTAGCAATGGAAACGGTTACAAAGCTGCGTGTTCTTGCAGTGTGACGCTCTGGAGGGAGGTCCCATTTGGCTGCTACACTAGAACTGGACCTGTCTGCATCCAGGGGATGCTGCGCCACCGGGGCTTCTTGCCCAGTCTTCTTTTTGCCATATTTTAAGAGGTTTATTTTTTATATGGGTTACTTCCCTGCGCTCGGGAGGTGGCGCTTACTGACTCCAGCAAAGGGGATGTGCTGCTCCTGCACTTTTCCAACTGCATTGCTCGTCTGCAGGCCTGTTCTGGAGCTAGGCCTCTGGTGAACATTAATGGTCGGCTAAGAAATCAAGGAGCCAGGAGAGACTCAGGTGCCTAGGGGTGGGTGTTCTCTAGCACCACACATGATGCTGTTTGCTGTTGCTCTTGGGAAGGGGAGGCCTGGCACGACCAGCCATCAAGAGGCGGCGATATGGCTTTGTCGGCTTGGGTGAGATGGTGACTTTTGTCCCTGCGCACCCGCGCAGTCCGTGACAAGTGTCTGGCTTTGTAATGTGCTGATGTGACCGAGGAGTTATTTTCTCTCCAGCGAGAGAGGGAGCAACCTGCTAGGAGGGAGTTGGGTTAATAACTTTTTTTTTTTACTATTTAAATGTCAGCATTACGACACACAGGAGATTGAATTTTGTATTTGATTTCCATTAGCAAAGCATAAATTATATTTAATTTTATACACAGAGACTGGATGATTCATTGTTATGGAAAAGCTGGTACTTAATGGTTTAGAAATGAAAATGGACAATTCGTCCTTTTGAAAGCAAACTGCTGTTCTGTCATCTGCTCCCAAACACGTCTGTCTGTATCATTCTGTACCTGAACGATATGAACGTCTGAAAATCTTCAACTTAAAACTTGAACCTAACAGCACTAAACAATAAAATATTGTAGCAGCTGCATTTCTCTGCTCCATTTCTCCTTGGTCTCTGCATGGGTATATTCCAAAGCGGCAGGAGTGGCAGGGATGAGGAGAATTCTCTGTACTATCCCATAATCAGCCTAATACCATAGAGACTGGTCAGCGCAGTGCAGGAGCCGAGGCCCAGTCAGTCACTTGGGATGCAGGTAGTGGGAGATGTTCCTCTCTTAGTTTTCCATGACCGTGAGCACAAATCAGATCCAAAAGGACCTGGGAGCAAGAAGAGAACAAACCACGCAGCTGCTACTGGGGCACAAAACTCACTTCGCTAGTTGGGGGGCTCTGTGCCTTGCGTGGGTGTCCTCGCCGGGCTGCGGGCCCGGGGAGCCGGTGTCACTCCCTGGGAAGGACAGAACCAGCAGCAGGTTAATGCCGCCAGCTTTGTCTGAGCACTGCCGACACATTTCCCTGTATGAGCTTGTTAATGCCATGTTGAAAGGGGGTTTGGCTAATTGCAGGAAGACAATGACTCTCACGCTACATATGCCCATAGCTGATGACTGAGTCACCCCTTCCCCGGTGCTCTGCTGCCCACCTTTGCCAGCCCTGGACTGCAGCAAGCAGTGACACAGTCTCCTTTGCAGGGCCCCGTGTGAACTAGCACACACAGAGGATGTGTCTCGGGGATATGGGAGCCTCACGCAGCCGGGCCGGGCCAGCCACTGGGAGCCAGGGGCTCAGTCAACAATGGGCGTCCCTGTTTCTCTGCTTGTGAATTAGCCACAGACTGGCTGGGATTGTTACGCACTTCTGTCGTCTTCTAACCTGCCTTGCGAGGGCGTTTCAGCCCATGGGACACTCACAAACCATCCCCCTGCCCTGCCCCTGTGGGTCTCTGATTAGCTCACTGATGGGAGGTGGCTCACCCAAGCCACACAGTCCACAATCAGGCAACCAACTCTTTTAGCAGCAGGAGGAGGGAGAATGATTCCCAGGGAGCTGCACAGAGCTGTGTGAACACCCAGAGGCTGGGGGCCCCTTGCTCTGCACCCACTGCCCCATGAGTCAGGGCCCCTCAGCTCTGCACCTGGGGCCCAATGGGCTGGGGGCCCCTTGCTCTGTGTAAACATTCCTGCAAACAAAGTATGCCCTTGCAGCCAACGAATGGAATTGCAAACACCGCCAATGTATATCAATCAGAGGCTAGGAATTGTCACAAATTGATAAGGGAAGCAAAGGGACACAAGAAGAAATCTACGGCCAACAGAGTTAAAGACAATCAGAAGGAGTTATTTAAGTATATTAGAAACTAAAAGAATCCTGACAATGGTATTAGTCCATTACTAGATGGAAATGGTGGAATTATCAATAATAATGCAGAAAAGGCAGACGTGTTCAGTAAATATTTTTGTTCTGTATTTGGAGAAAAAACATGATGTAGTCATATCATATGGTGATGACACTCGTTCCATTTCACTAGCGTCTCAGGAGGATGTTAAACCACAGCTACTAAAATGAGCTGTTTTCATGTCAGCAGAACCGGAGAGCTACATTCAGGAGTTTTAAAAGAGGCAGCGGAGTCGCTCTCTGGACCAGTAATGTTGATTTTCAATCACTCCTGGAGCACTGGAGAAGTTCCAGAAGACTAGAAGAAAGCTAATGTGACAATGGGATGACCCAGGCAGTTATAGGCCAGTCAGTCTATCAATCCCGGGCAAGATAATGGAGCAGCTGATACAGGACTTGAGTAATAAAGAATTAAAGGAGGGTACTACACCTCTACCTCGATATAACGCTGTCCTCGGGAGCCAAAAAATCTTACCGCGTTATAGGTGAAACCGCGTTATATCGAACTTGCTTTGAACCGCCAGAGTGCGCAGCCCCGCCCCCCCGGAGCGCTGCTTTACCGCGTTCTATCCGAATTCGTGTTATATTGGGTCGCGTTATATCAGGGTAGAGGTGTATAGTTAATGCCAATCAACATGGGTTTATGGAAAATAGATCCTGTCAATCTAATTTAATATTTTTATGAGATTACAAGTTTGGTTGATAAAGGTAATAGTGTTGATGTAACATATTTAGACTTCTATAAGATATTTGACTTGGTATCACATGACATTTTTATTAAAAAGCTAGAACAATATAAACGTATCACAGCCCACATTACATGGATAGGTCTCAAAATGTATTTGTAAATAGGGACTGTGTTTTTAGTGGGGTCTCATAGGGATTGGTCCTTGGCCCTATGCTATTGATGAATTGTATCAATGATCCAGAAGAAAATATAAAATCATCACTGATAAAGTTTGCAGCTGACACAATAATTGTGGGAGTGGTAAATAATGAAGAAGACGGGTCATTGATACAGCGTGATCTGGTTCGCTTGGTAAGCTGGGCACAAGCAAACTATATGCATTTTAATACAACTAAATGTAAATGTAGACATCTAGGAGCAAACATGCTGGCCGTACTTACAGGCTGGGGGACTCTGTCCTGGGGAGCAGGGACACTGAAAAGGCTTCGGGGGGGCGGGGGGGTGGATAATCAGCCGAACATGAGCTCTCAGTGCAGCGCTGCGGCCAAAAGGGCTAATGTGATCCTACGATGCATAAACGGGAATCTCGAGTAGGAGCAGGAGGGTGATTTTACCTCCGGGTTTGGCACTGGTGCGACCACTGCTGGAATCCTGTGTCCTGTTCTGGCGCCCACAGTTCAAGCAGGATGTCGATACATTGGAGAGGGGTCAGAGAAGAGCCAGGAGAATGACTGGAGGACTGGAAAACATGGTTCATGGTGATAGACTCAAAGAGCTCAATCTATTTAGCTTCACAAAGAGATCGCCGAGGGGTGACTTGCTCACAGTCTGTAGCTCTACATGGAGAACAGATATTTGATGATGGGTTCTTTACTCTAGCAGAGAAAACCCCAACACAATCCAATGGCTGCAAGTTGAAGCTAGACAAATTCAGACTGGAAATTTTGCAGTGAGAGTAATTAACAGTGAGTAATTAACCACTAGAACAATTTACTAACGGTCATGGTGGATTCTCCAGCACTGAATTTCTCAGTCAAGATCAGCTGTTTTCCTAAGGGTCTGTCTACGTGGGAAACAAAAACCCACGGCTGGCCCGTCCCAGCTGATTCGGGTTCATGGGGCTCCGGCTGCCAGGCTGTTCTATCACCATGTAGACTTCTGGGCTCCAAGACCCTCCCACCCTGCAGAGTCCCCGAGACTCGGCTCCAGCCTGAGCCCGGACGTCTACACAGCCATG